CTATCTATCTATCTATCTATCTAACTATATATAACTATCTAACTTTATCTCTATACTGTCTGTCTCTCTCTATATATATATATCTGTCTGTCTCTATATATATATATAGATAGATATATATAAATATATATAAATATTAGTTATATTTTGATTTAGTTACTTAATACAAATTTAACTGTAATTAATATTAGATTTAATATTTATCAAACTTTAACTTTATATATTGATTCGGTATTATTAACGTAACCACATTTTTGGAAACATACATTTTTATTTAAGATATATAGCGTATTAAATTGTTCTTACCCTTATATGATATTAATTGTAGAAATCATTAGTGTCTGTTGAAATAGCTGCAGTATATTGCAAAGTAGGCAAATGACCAACACACATAATCAGAAACATGAAGCACATCTGGAAACGAGTGTTGTTTTCCTGTTTCCCTGCTTCCTAAACATCTGTAGAAAGGATTTAATTGTTCATTTTATGTTCAGTAATTCTCCAGAACACAACAACTTTCAATTTCTCTCTGTCTCTCTTCCATAGAAGATGTAACCGTGACAGCAGTGTGTGCCAACACCTGGGTCCTAGAACTGGCACATCTATATAGAATGCTTATTAATATTGATTACACTTGTATGTGATGAGTACAAATGTCAGCTGGGATAAAGGTACAGTGTATGAGCCGAACAGTGCCAGAGAGGGTTTACTCCTGGTGGTCCAGTTTCAGATATGAATTAGGACTTTAATAAAAAACTAATTTTCTTGCTGTTGCTTCTGTTATTTGCTGTCAGAGGAAGACAGAGCAATAAAGAGCGAACTCGTCTACTTACACTAGAAAATGCACTTTCTGTAGAAAATGCATGACTGCCAACAGCTGAGATGAATTGCTTGAAAGATCTGAAAGCTCAAATGCATTGCACTGCATTGCTGGAAAAAAAAAGAGGATGTAGCTGAAATGTAAAACTGGCAAAGTTGGAGACTAGACTGCATTAACTAAGGAAGCTGAGAGCTTAAATGCGTTGCTGGAAGGTGAATTGACGCGTTGCCAAAGCTGTTGAAATGAATTGCCTTTGTATGTTGAAAGAAGAAACGCTTTGTGTCATACCAGACACATGAGCTGCATTTCTTTGGAACATAAAATACAAAGAGAACAGAAATATACCGCATGAGAAAAAGGGGGGGGGGGCTGAACGGCACCGCACTGGAAACGCTGAAAGATAAGATGCATTAATCACAAGCATGTTCACATGGTGGAAATGAGTGAAGATGAAAGAAGAGAACAAAGCACTGAATGCTGAATCAGCATTCACACCGATTAACACTGTAACACAGACATGTAGCTGTTCTTTGATGCATGCACACAGATATTTACACACAAATATACATATGCACACATGTATTACCACACGTGTTGTGTTGGATACAAATGTATGCACCAAAACACAAGTAGGTCTATCTAAACATGCTGTACTTTTCAAAGTAATGAGAGCAGCCATGGTAAAATGCTGAATTTGTTACTGGATTGCATTTTTATTGACAGAGCAGGACTTTAAAGGCATGAATGAGTTGATATGTGACACTACAGAATAATGTCTTCGGCTCATTCACAGAGAAGTTGGCTGATCCAGTGTGGCGATCTACAACAGAGCTAGTATTGTTTAGAAGATGGTTTAGTCATGTGCAGCCTCAATATGGCTGTCACATTATAGCTAAAAAGTCAACATCAACCGTGTAATAAAAATTCATACCAATTTTACTTAACTGTATGGCATGCACAGACACCCCCTGACTTCCTACAGTATCTGCACTTTGTAAGTACAAAAAGTAGACCTTTGTGTGTTTCTGATTTATAATCAGACACTGATGTGGTGTCAACATCCGCAGCAAGGGGAAACAATCCTCCTCCTGTTGAAAGTGACACTGAGGGTCATAACATGAAGCTTAAGCACCCGCTGTCACACAAAGATACAGGATCCCTAGCAGAGGACGAGACACTGCAGAATGAACAAGAGGTAATCAGGATGAAAAACTCAAATGTTTATCATCCTGGTTATTGCCTTGTGCTTTCAGCGCTGCACGACCACTGTTGCTGTGCTCATTTCTCTGCACCATGAGTACAAAATGAATAAAACTCAGAGGAGGCTACAGACAGCAAAGTAAAAAGAACAAATGTCAGTTTTATTATTACATTCTTTCACAAATAAAATCATGTATATCATAATGTATTGGTTCACTTTGTCTAAAATAAAGTGCCATAACCCTCACATTGATTATATATTTATAATTTACAGTGTTACACACATTCACAGTCCACTGGCTCGTCCTTTTACAGATCATATTTTTTAAATTGTGACTATATAAGGGCTGTTATTTTGACACAATTGTGTGTCCTTGTACTTTGGTCTTTGCTCGTCACAGGTTGCCAAGCTCACCACAACGCAGGTGCCAGGAGTCAGAAATGTTTTCCTCTCAGCATATCAACCTACATGTATGAGGCCAGTAGTAGCTGTTGCTGTGGCTGGATGTAAAGATTTGCAGGTTACATAGAAAAAGGAGTCATTTAGCTGGAATCTATTATAAAATGCACTTATGTCCACACACACACACACACACACACACACAGATTACACCAAATAATTGAGCGACCTTTATTTCAACCATGGCCTACATTTTCACATTAAAGCACTGACCCGCTCTGATAGCAGAGAATCTAAATAGAAGTAGACCCCTCTCTGCATTTCAGTGCAGGAATCCCAGACAAATGAAATCCTGTCCGACCAGTAAAAACCTCTGAAACACAGAGGTGGAGGAGAGCTCTCTGCTGTGTGTGTAAACATGCCAGTGTATATGCTGCTGTATGTTGAGGAGGGGGAGAGATGGCAGCCTGCCACAGTGAACTCGCTGACCGGGCCCCCCTCCAGCTCCCTGAGCAGCGCTGAGGCCAGCTTTGGGATGGGAGCCAGTAGCAGCATAGCGAGGCTCAGGCACAGCTCAGCCCAGCCAACTGGAACACAGTCGCTATGTAGATTTCTGGGATCTTTCACAGTGTGTCAGATTACAGCGAGCCCTGTCCTCCCTGTTGCCTTGCAGGAGCATCTTCTGCCCACGATGCCATGCCACGGCCTTTTTTGGATCCACGTTTCGGTGCGAGGCACAGACTTGGCAGTAAATGACACACATTCAAGAGGATGTCCATTAGACACAGGCACCACATACAGAATACTACAGACTGCACAAACAGCCTGAGTACAAAAGGAAAGGTTTAACTAAGCTCTCTTCCATCATTGCTGAGGGTGTCGCTAACAGTCCAGCTTTCAGGAGAAACAATGCAAACTGGGGAGACCAGAGATTTCCAAATGTTTCTATTAAATGTGTTGCTTTTTTCAAAAACAAAAACAAGGTGTGCTAGAACTGTGTGGAGGATTTGGAAACAGTGGGAAACTGCTGCCATCTGCAGGGCATCCTCTACATTACAGGCTGCAGTAATTGTAAACAAATGTCTATTAAACATGAGATGAAAAAGAAAGCTCCATCAAATACACCAGTTTCTCATTTATAATAGATTTATGGAATGGTGTATCCAGACTTAATGTCTTAGTGCTTCCAAAAACCTGTTTTTGAAGCTAATAATAGATGCTCTATGTACTTTCCAAAGGAAAAAGTTACATCTTTTGACTTTTGTCAAAGCCAGAATGTCCTATAAAAAGAGTAATTGTGTCTCTATCAGAAAGCAACCAAACACCAATACTGTATGTATGTAGTGTTAGCGTCACTATCCACGCAATCATTATTCTCCATAACATTACAAAGGTTTTCAATAATTATGTTTAACATTAGAATACAGCATTAATACTAAAATCTAATCTTCTGTGCATAAACTAATACTAGAATTAAATCTCATCACAATAATGGACAGCGACAACTGGTTCAGAATTTCACAAATAAGGATTTTAAAGAATTTTATTGAAACAAAGATCAATTTCAGTCCCAGTCCCTTATGGTTTTCAAAAAGCGTGCTTTGGGTTTTAGCGCCAACATTTCATGACTCTTCTCCAAAGCCCTCTTTGCTTATACAGCAGCATGTATATACTGAAGAGAAAAGAAAAAAAAACAAACAAAAAAAACACTATACAACAGGTCATTTTGGCACAATCAGCTCATACAACGGTACTCCTGTGCTGGCATATCGTTACTTTCAAACAGTTTGCTCTCCATCGGATCAAAACATGTTTACTGATGAGCTCATTCACAATGGATTTGACCGTAATAAGAGGTGTAATACAGTAATCATGTTAGAATGCTTCTAGAAAACAAAATACCACAGTAAGAATGGTGAAAGGTGTCTTTCTTGTTAAAAGGTTGCAGTACTGGGCGATGCAAAGTGTTGATTCTGGTAAAAAGACCTTTACAAACTGTATGTTCCCTCACCCAGAACTCATCAAGTCCTGGCAGCATCGCTGTGATGAGTCTCGGAGCATTGGCCTTGATGTAGTGTTTGCATTAGTTGAGTGATATAATCTGAAACCTGGCATTACATTGAAACACTTGAGCCCAGTCGTGCAAAATCCCATCTGGAGCAAAGGAGCGTCCTCTGACTTCTCACAAGAAAACACTGAGAAAGATTCCACTGGATGATAAATTATGACAAAAGACATGATAAAAACAGGAAACCGAGAATACTGTGACATGTTCCTTTGCCAACATTTGGTAGAGCGTTTCGTTTCATCCCATTCGGTAAGCACTTTGGTATACATGCTGGTCAGAGCCATGTCGAATTGATTACATACCGATTCAGTTGGACTAGGCCTTTGCTTGGATTTTGATATCCGTGGGCAGTTTTTTTTTTTCTTCAAGTAAAGATACAAAGACTGTTCATTGTAACACATTCATAAAGCATGCACTCTGATGGACAAAGAGAAAAGTCGTTTGGACAAAACCCCCAGGTAACAGCAAGATCAGGAGAAAAAGTGCTGATTTTTCATATTCACATAAAAAGATCGATATAAGAAATGCATTCGCTGACTAAACTCGACTCGCTCCTTCATCGGGTTAAGTGTCCGATACAGCATTTCTGAATTGTCTACGGATCCGTCTAGTGGATCCGCCTTTGACGCAACGCTTCTCAGAAAGGGAGAGCTGATCCAGGAAATAGATTTCAGGTCAACCTCTGTGAATATTTGACATCACATTTGAAAAAGGCAAAAACTGGTCACAGGGGAGCCCTCCTTCTCCAAGAGGACAACACCTGGAAGATGATCAAGGATGGCTTCATCTTAACAGTCGTCTCAATGGACTATTCATGTGGGTCGATGAGCAGACAAAACAAAAAATTTGTTTTTAAAGACACTGTAAACACTATTTTAACATAACTAAAAATGTGACATTGATGGTAACTTAGGAGATATCAGATCTGTGACTACCTAATTTTTAAAAACATTTTGAAGATGGGAAAAAAAAAAAAGCCTGCAGATCTACATCCCCTGTCTGCATCATCTTACAATTAGAGGATCTTCTGAAGCATGAAGAGTATAACTGGAAATGAACTCTTCAGATAACCTTGAATCGTTCTATTGCTACAAAAGCCGTCATGACCTAACCTGGAAAGACAACCAATTAAGAACTAAATCTAGTTTTTCATTGATACGATATGATGAAACTAAGGACCACTGCTGTGACCGATGAACAAGCACTGCAGCTCGTCATGACTGAGTGAGGAGACCGTGTTCAAAGAAATCTACAGCTCAAGAGTGACTGGAAACTTTCACACATGTCCCCTCTGTTAAGACATCTGCACATGATTTTTAGAAAAGAAAAGCCAAGCGCACAAACTTGCGTCTGACTAGGTGCGTTTAGAGGCATCGTTTTGATTTAATCAACAGTAATATCTGCATCTCTTCAAAAAAAAAAAAAAAAAAATCAACGCCAACAGCTTGACAATTAGATGGGCAAGGCAGCTTCTGAATAAAATACTGGCTGACATTCAAGATGCGAGGACAGAAAATAAGAGACAGCTTTTAAGTACTGATATTGAGGAGTGTAGAACAGACTCAGCNNCCCCCCCCCCCCCCCCTCCCAGTTAAGTGTCAAAAAATAAATAAAAGAAAAACCGAGAGATAAATTCAACGTCACAACCATTCGATTCAGTATATGGGGAAATTCACTTAAGTTTTCTTTACTCAAAAAACAAATTAGTTGCATTTGGCGTACAATCTGCAGTTTTCATCTCAGTGCCCCCTTTCTCTCCGGTTTCAAAAACAGAAAAGATTATTCGCATATCTCCCAAGAAAGTGGGAAAGTTTCCATGTTTGACTCTTTCAGACCTCTGTGCACTATAAGCAGGGTGGGCTGTAGAGAAAAACAAAGCCACGCAGAACCGTTTTTTCCTGGATGCATTGTAACTACACAGACGGACCTGGCCACACCAGGCACAACCCCATCCTCCAAAAAGAAAAAGAAAAAAAAAAAGAAAAAAAAAGTAAAGAGAAAGAAGATTGTGTGTCCTGCTTAGTCCTCACTAGAGCCTTTGGCCCCAATGAGGGGAATCCTCCCTTCATGGCATCTTTCATGAGAACGTTTTATTTTAGCACAAGCAGAATCCAGAGTTTTCCTTTATCTGCTTGGTTTCCAGAGATAACAGGGAAACAATGTCTACTAACTACTTTAAAAGTTGCTGTTGATCGTACTTGGCAATAAGTCTCTTTATATGTGCCAGTTTGTTGTGTAGATATTCACAGCGGTTCTTCTCTTGACTATAGTTTGGATTAGTCTGCAAGGGATATGAGAAAGCACAGAGTCACAATCTGATGATCTACTTGGATACTTTATGCCATCAAACTCAGTTGTAGTGGGACTTAAACTTACCTTTTTTATTTTATGATACTCTTGAAGTATCTGATTGTGGATTGTCTATGAAGAGAAGACACAAAAATGGGTGTGATTAAAACTGATGTCCTGTAAAATGAATCAGTAAAATAAAATAGGACATTTTATTATTAGTTCCTCAAGATATTTTCTAACAAAATAACAGATTAGTGTGCAACCTACCTTGTACTTGTCTGTGCCTTGGTGGAGCTGTTTCAGCTCATTGTCAAGCACCGTGAACTGCCGGGTGATGCCCTCTATCCGAGCATGCAAACCCCGGTACTCACTGTACTCAGCATTGAAATCGTTTTTATACCTCTGACGTTGCTCCGGAGAGCCGATCACTGTGTACTTCCTAAGAGTGAAATAAGAGAAAATCTTCGTGAAAAGAGATTGAGAGAAAGTCACAGTACGAGTAACTCAAGTGAGAGGAATAATGGTAATTAGACCAATTAAATGAATGAATCCCAGAGGTTTTCATAGTCACTGTGGACTGTGCTTCCCTAACAACTCTGGTCACAAAGCCCATTGAGCTACTGAGGGTTACAAGCTGAACCCTGTTTTCTAGCAGTGCCTGTTTGCAATGTACACATGCACGTACAGACAAACATCACTGGATCACTTTGAAAACAAATCTTAAAACCTGATGATTCTCAAGCAAGTTCTGGAGTATTGCTGCTATAAGTGGGCCAAATTACAATAACAAACCTGTTGTTTTTAATGCACCCGTCTCTTTCACCTCACACGTCTCTCTCTCTCTCTCTCCGTGCTCCCCCCTAGGGAGGCCTAACAGTCTCCAATTTATTTATTTATTCCAATGAATTTTAGGAGAATTCAAACTCTTAGCGAGCAGCACAGCTGTATAATCTATCGAGATTTAGAATTGTTGAATACTCACAATAAATAGTCTGCCACCTCAGGTGATGACAAAGGAATACTGGTACTGTTGCACATTCCATTCAGATCTGAAACAAGATTTAGAAAATGTCATTAATAAGTTAAGTTAACTCCACAGAGTCTCTGTGTAAAACACACCACAAAGAGATCATTATTTCTAATTCGTTATCACATCATTCATCTCATAAATGTGCAATCCTCTAAAGATGTTATCTGCCAGTTGGATTCATGTGTGTGTATTTGAGCTTATTGAAGGCATAAAGCTGAACAGCAGGGGTCTCCATTCAATCAGTGAGTCACATACTGGTCACATGATGCAGCACCTACTCACAGTGATGACTAACTGGTGTCCATCCACATATGAAGCACTACTTTTATTCAGAAAACTCTCATCTGTTGCAAGAGCTGTGAAACTGAAGTAAGTAAAACATTTTGTACAGGAGAAGAAAAAGATGTGTGCGTGCGTTGTGCTCACCTGTGCTTTTGTGTGGAATACTGTTGCTTTTGAGGCTTGCTGGGCTCATCTCACAGGCTCTGTTAGGCTCAGGCACACGCTCCTCACGACTCTTCCTCTCCTTCTCTTTCTCCTTCTCTTGCGCCTTTTCTCTCACTCTCTCCCTGTCTTTGCTCTTCTCCTTGTCTTTATGCTTTTTTGACTTCTTCCTGGACTTGTTGTTGCAGGATGAAGGACTCTTGTCCCGAGGCCCCTCCAGAACCATGTGTCCAGGAGATGATGTGCCAATGCTGGGTGCAGGGAGTATCGTTGGGCCCGAGAGAAACGAAGGCGGTTGGCTGAGCCTCTCGGACACTGCTGTTTCCTGAGAGTCACAGTCTCTCCCGTTGTGGCTGGAGTCGTTGCTGACATCCGACAGTGCTTCAAATGGACGAGGGATGTCCAGCACAGGGAGCTGCTGGGAGCTGGACGTCATGCCGCCGTCTGACATAGAAACCGCGACTGCTGCCTGCGGTCCACCTGCCTCTCCTCTCCCGTTGGTGGAGCCGAGCTTGCCATTGACTGGGGCTGTTGCAGCCTTGCTGGCGAGGTGCGATATCCTGGGCTTTTTGTTGGCAAGGGGGTCGATGAAGTCAGCAGCGGGCCGTTTCTGGCAGAAAAATAGCAGTTTTAGTAGCAGAACCTAAGATAGGGTTCAGTATGAATTCAATTCACCCCAGAACAAGTGAGAGGAAAACTGCAGTTCAGGTCAGAGCAAACAAAAATTGTTTGAGCTGTGGAGGACAAGGGAGTGTCTAGTACATGCACATAGATGGAGAAAGCAACACAAAGAAAGAAGGAGTACAAAGAAAAGAGTATTAGAGGATCTGTATTCTCAGTAGCACTGAGACTATGATGACTGTGCTGTCTTTTCACAATACCAGGGATTACATTACAGACGAGCCCCGTTTGACCCAGCCCACACTAATGTTTTTGGGAGTGGCTGACCCAGTCACTGTGTGTTGGCTGTCCCAACAGGAGGACTTTGGGGTTCTGAAACAACAACGAAAGCCAACGAGGAACAATTTTGAAAATATTTTCTTCTTGGTTTTGGCCCTCCATCCATGCTAATTAGTCTGTTGCTATATAAAAACAAGGGGTGCTATTGTCAGGAAGCCAAATTTAATCTGAAGTTGGGCTGAGATCCGCAGTCCCACTTCAGATGATGGCAGTAATGAGCAATTTTATTTTTCTCCCTAACAAAGGATGGAGATTGTACCTTTTGATTCTGTGAATGGAAACCCTGACTGGAAAAAAATGACAAGAAATGTAATGCTAGAAGGGACGGAAGTTATTTCCAGATTTATCCGTCTTTGTGTGGACATGGTCTCACCCTGTTTGCCTTGCAGCTCTCCCTGATTCACCCCTCACCTATGTGAAGTTTACACACAGCTTTACCTGGTGTGGTGCTCTCATTTTTAATACCAGTGAATCTAAAAAAGAGCCTGGGGTACTGTTTGCTTGTGCGCTGTGTTTACTGAGGGAGGGAGCGGAAAGGAAGGAACATACAGTAGGTGTCTGAGGTGAGAGGAATCTGAGCGGAAGGAGCTATTAATATAACAGAGCAGCTCCTCCTTCCTCTACCTAATGGAAGTGTAAACAATGGGTAAACTCAGGAGTCTGGGCTGACCTAAAAAGAGAGCAGCAGGACAAGGAATATGATAAAATGAATTATGCAATCAGGATGAAGAAGAGTTTCACTTAAATAAAGTTTTCCGTGGTGGCTATTTTGGTTTAATAGTAGTCTAGCAAACAATGTATAGTTGTTCAAATGTTCTTGAAGAGCTCATAACTGAGTAAGTTAATATGGGTCAACTGGAACCAGTTCAGAAAACGTGTACTGTAAAAGCACTTTTCAATTCACTAAAATTAGAGAGGAAACACAAATCGGTTTGGAAGAAGCCAGATAATTTAGAAAGCCTCACTGGGAAACCACCAGACTGCAGAGACAACCCAGTTAGCAGGCTGTAGTGTTTGGTAAACTGGTGGAAATGTGGAAAAAAAATCCAATACACAGTTTTGTTTCAATTCCCCTATCATTCTACTGGATCAGCTGAAACGGCTGAAGGCAAACAAGCTCTGGTTAAAAATTAACTATGCAGAGTGTATTTACACTCTACTGAATTAACATCAAGCAGTTTGAGAGTTTCAAAATTAATTCTGCCCAGAAATGAATAAAATTAAGAAATAACTGCACCGTTGAATTCCCATGGCCAAAAAATATCTGAAAAATCGGTATACTGTGATGTGTAACGTCAACCTCTTACAAATCTGAAATATAAGAATATATGATCATCACTATCCGCAGTGGAGGAGGAGTTACTGTACAACTGGAAAGCTCACCTGAGATGGGGAGCTGCCGGCCAGCTCTTTGGGCGGGCTCTCCAGTGGAGGGGCAGAACTGTTCTGGGCCTGGCTCTGTTTCCTAAGATGGTGAACACACACACATACACACACACATACACACACACATACACATACACATACACACACATACACACACACACACACACACAACACCCATACCACACACACACCACATCACAAGCACACACACACACACACACACATACACACACACATACACATACACACACACACATACACACATACACAACACAGGAAAGCTTAATATCATTTCTGCACGATCTAAACTGTAAACTGCATAACAGCACTACAGGAACATTACTTTATCTATCTAACTACTGTTAAGGTGACCACAGCATTTCCATTGGTGCCAATGTGTCAACGTTGAAGGCTTCAACTAAATCTGATTGTTTTGCCAGTGTAAGTGTAGCTTACTTGTTTGACGAGACACTTCGGGACATACACCAAAGGCTAAAGCCGTCACGGAATTTGTTACAAAATGTATTTGCAGCGAGTTATGCTCATAGAGCCGGAAAATACTCAAAGACATGTCTTTCGAGCAAAACTAGAAAATACGCAGCTGCCATTTCTTTAGTGACAGGCTAATTCTATATGTAAGGACAGTAAAAACAAGTTACAACAGTTGCTTTGTGAAGATGAGTGGGAAGCTACAACAACAGAGCAAAGGAGGACCTACTTGACAGAGCAGCGTTTTATCAAAACCACACTTCATTTCGAAAAATGGACAAGGCAAAACTTCATTAAATAATTAAATCTGTTCACAAGTTTTGTACCAGTTTAACAGTCTTTGTTGTTTTTTTAAATACATAAATTCTGCTGTACAGAAGACCAAGTATAATCTCACATTGCTGCGTGTTTATTTAATGGTAGAACAATTTGGCAGCTAGTTCAGTACAAGTGAGAAAGTGGCATGACACTCTGCTGTGACCGAGAGAAAGCGAGAGAGAAAGAATATGGTACTGCAGCTCATTCTAGGTGTGGATGTTGTATTGAGGGTTTCTCCATAAGCACACTACAAAGGTGTCTACAAAGGTTAGTCAATGGGATCGGGAACATACCACATCTGTTTTCACACCACTCTATCCCTGACCACCTCCATTAGAGGCTTCAGTAACTGCGCTGTGTTCCCACCTGTATTTAAAGTTGTCCACTTGTGATCAAGTCAGCCAAAACACATCTTAGCGCCAGGTGTGAACGGAGACTCAGATTGATTATGATGCACTAAACTCTGACCTCATTATGCACCAGATTAATCTGTACAGCACAAGTGTCAAAACAAAAAAAGCTGTGCTAATATACAGCTACCCAACCAAGATAAACAGTGCGTGACCAACATTATAATCTAAAATGTAAAATGACACTTTTCACATTGCAGAGATGCTGCTGCCACCGTTGATGACATTATCAGAAGGGGGCATTTGGATACATTAAGCCCCACCCAAGTTCAATCAGGGGGTGTGTGTGTGTGTGTGTTGGAGACAGCTCCTGCCTGTGTATCTGACTACGAGTGAGACAGCAGGCCGGCCGATATGGCTGAACCTTGGACCGGTGCCACCTCACACACGGATCAGCATGTGCTAGAACAGTGTTGCATCATGTGCGTTCCAATCATGTTGCTGTGCTACTCCTGCGTGACTGACTGCATTAGCTCAAAACTCTGGAGGAGCTGGGGAGGGGGGGGGGAGGAGATGTTAGGTGGGAGGCTGTGTTTATTAGTCAGCTGTTAAACTCACAAACAGAGCTCAAAGTACAATAAAAAAAAGAGAGACACACGCAAATAGAGTGCAAGTATGTGTGCATATGCATGTCTTTACATTCAAAATAAATACATTTGTGAAATGTTTTTTAAATTTGCCAGAAGGGCTTTAGGTTTCTACCAGAACTGCCCTTCAAAAGCCCAATACAACACAAAACAAAACATACTATAAAACTATGCCAGTAGCAGTCTTAGCAAAAGCCACTTCAGGTATGTACGGCAGTAAAGGTTGCAGTGTTATTGCATTGCACTGCATTACATCATCATCAACTGTGTTTCTATTATTCTGGTCACTCAGTGTTAACACCGTTTCTGCCTCTACAGTTGCACCACAGGTGAAACTAAGCTTATCATGAATAGGAGCTGTTCTTGAGTCCACTACGTAAACACAAGCCGAGGACCAAGCATTGCTGCCTGGTCTATATATAGCTAGCTGGGAGCTTGCTTTTCCTTAGTGTCCCAGATCCTGAGAAACCAGATTTTTCCACTGGGAAGAAGGCCAGCAGCTCATGCTGTCAACAAATACAACACTTAGACAAAATTCAGTGGAGCACACAGAAATCTTTCTGGGGACACACAAGACACACCTGCCATTCTAACAAATACAAGAAGTGGGTTTAGTTTTTCACACCCACAATCCATAATTTCAAGCACGCAGAAGTCAATCCAATAAAGTCCTATATATTCTAATCATATCTCATAAACTATAATGGCCTCAGTCGACACAAACAAACAAGGTGCAGTTCGTAGTGTCATAAGTCTGTACTACACAACACCTTGTCTGTAACTTCAGAAAAGTCTACATGTATAAAATAGATCAGATATATCAAAGTATATAAATATAAAAATTTGTTACTTTATAAATGCAATCCACTGCTTTAGCATCAATATTTGTTGCTGAGAAGCTAAAGGGACCTCAGGCTGCCAGTATGCTACATCACACAAGACCAATTCACCAAACAATCCAAAATGACCTCCCCACTGAATAATGACTCACAACATCGTCCGTGAAATATAGAACTGAAAATACGCACATTACACAAATCTAAAAACATATGTACATTTACATGCACTTCACTGAAGATTCGCCACCTAACATGTTCTCTACATTTACATTTACATACATGCTCTAAATGTATGGCTGATGAGAAACACTATCAGAATAGGATGACATATGGGTTTTAAATGAGTGAGTAATCTGTGTACCTAAACAGGATTCTCTTGAGAATCTGCTGGTCTCCTTCTGTGTAGCCCGGCCAGTCCTTCTGAATTTCCTTATACAAAAAGTCCTTCAATGTGAAGGCGTTGTCTTTCCCATTCAGGTTCGCCACCTAGGAAACGAGAAAAAGAGGCATGTGTGAGTCTACTTGCCTCCGCAGTTGAGGATGATCAGAAGGGATATCCTCACTGTGAGCGACTTAAGGTGACAATACTGACTGAGGCACTAAGTGTGTGTGTGTGTGTGTGTGTGTGTTGTGTGTGTTGTGTGTGTGTGTGTGTGTGTGTGTGTGTGTGTGTGTTTGTTGTGTGTGTGTGTGTGTATAACCTGTTGCAGGTGGCTATCCAGGGAGTCCTTGTCTAATGGCAGGAGGCCATCTTTCTGCAACCTCAGGATCAGCTCAGGCTTTTTGTAAGGCTTGAGGGCCAACAGGTGTACGAGGCGCTCCCGGAGCGGCCTGTGCTGAGGTGTGCCCTTCTTTAGCGTACTGCTAGAGATGATGACGGGCCGAGACGTCCTCCGTAACGGGGCAATGTCTGACAGGCCAGGTGCCGGTTTCCGGATCTGGACCTTCTTACCTGAGGAGTTACAGAAGTGAAGGAAGAGTTTAGCTGGACAAGGAATAGTCAATGTCACCCCAGTAAACAATTTCACTCATCTTACCAACTAGTTTTTGCACGTAAATCTTCTACAGAACAATTAGCTTGTACAGTTTACTTTAATTTCTAAGTTGTGATGAGAATTTAAATTACAGGAGGGATTTTGTCTACTGCTGAAACAGAAGTGCTGGTAGAAAAAGATAGATTTTTTGGCTGGCACCCAGCACTTGCTTGTATTCTTAAAATACAGAAAATAACTATAATCTTAGCAAGAAAAATACATTTGTTTCTGTCAACAGCCTTTAACTCAGTGAGTGATAATGGCTGAGAACTTGCAGATGACTCATAAAAGATGTGTCTTGCACTAATCTTTACTGCTGCCACGTCCACCCGAACTCACCTTCCATTACAAACATCAGCTATTATCATCTTCTCCCTCTGAGACCTGGTTTCAGGTGATTCAGATGAATCCTGTTTTGCCTCCTACTAAGACCGAAACATTCTTCGGCTCCACAGCACTCAGACTGGACTAAACACTTTTTGACTCACTGCAGAACAGTGAATAGGCTGGATTTATTTCTTTTAAGGTTATGAGGCAGTACCTGCTGTGGTTTTGTACTGCAGCTGTAGCATGATGTGTTTTATAGTTCAGGTCGGAGACCAAAACAAGAGGTCAGAAAGTTGATGTGTTATGCCCGGGGACATTTCTGCCTCTGTGTGTTTAAATGACATTCATGGGATCGGGGAGAAAAGAGGATCAGTGTGCATGTGGCACATTATATGCTTGGCCACAGAGGAAGCAACCACCATCAAATTCAATAAAGTCCTGGTTACAGATGAGGCATGCTGGCAGTGCGCTGGACCTCTGCCATTCAGCCCCAGACCCAAACAACCTGTCTGGTGCAATGTGAACCCATTCACCAGCAGAGAAGGGCTACACAAACACGTGGGCCAATTGGATGTTTGCAGGGTACAGAAACTCTTCCAGTCCCTTCATGCCTGTTAACTCCAAACACCTTTATGGAAATATCGATTTCCCCATCATCCAAAAGCTAAGTTATTAAATACGGGTCTTTGCAAGTGCAAGACTGAGAAAATGATGCATGTTGAGTGGTCTGCATGTCGCCTCACCTACGTATCTCCCACCAGGTTTGATGACAATGGCACTCCTACTGCGAGTCTCCTCCTCAACCTGGGCCATGCTCTCCCTGGCCTTCTGGTAGGAGTCGTCTGTGGCACATACTGTAATCTTGTCCTGGATCCCACCCAAACAATCCAGCTGAATGCTCCCTTCACTGCCAAAACAAAGACGAGACGGTGAGAAGAAGAAGACAGGGATAGAGAGGGAGAGAGAAATAGACAGGAAGCAAACCAATATCATGTTATTTTTTAGAGGATGGTACCTTAAAATACTCAACATAAATCCACCACTACAAGTTCATTCTCAGCATTAACCCTAATTCTTTCACTATTTGCAATAACCCATCCCCTAACTGTGCATTCCTGCCCAGATGAGATCCATTAAACACCCTGAGGGCACAACTATTATTTTTTCAATTTCCATCCAACTGTGGGTTCCCACAGTACGACTCATTGCCGCATCAAATCCCATTCTTTCCTGACTTTCCGGCTCTCTTTGATTCCCCTCCACTTTGATGAGGATTTGGCAGAAAATGAGATGGTGCTGGCGCAGTCAGTGGAAGCTGAGCTCTGTCATTTGGGTTTTAGATTGGAGCTTGAGGTTGATTAGGATCCAGTCAGAGATGTGGATGAACTCCACCTGACCCACTTGTTAAAAATATTTTCAGTATAATGGGGTCAGAAACTTGACAGTCAGAGAAGCAGAAGGTTCTTGTTGTTCCCCATTCTGTTTCTCTACTTCCTTCCTCTTCAACACAGACATCTGGTCCTATTCACTTGAATCAGTAAACACATTTTTTGCATACGTTAGGCTGGAGAAGGCATGCAGGATTAGTTTAATGGCTACATGCACAGAGAGAGATGGATCTACATCATAAGAAGGTCTTATGTCATTGAACTGCTACTGCAGAGACAGACAACACTTGCAGCAGGAACAAGTTCCAAAATTATTAACTCTAAAATGTATTTGAACACTACTCATACTTCATTTTAAGTTAGACTGTTACTGTAAAACTTCATTCTTCTTCAAAAACGTATTTTGTTTTATAATTAGAAGAAGAAGATATACTTTATTGATCCCCTAGGGGGAAATTGTTTTTTTCACTCTTTTTTTCCACACACACGCACACGCACACGCACACAAGGACACGCAAAGGGTAGGGATGGTGGAGTGATGGGGCTGCCGTGTTACCAGCACCTCATGAGCAGGTTTCGGGGTTAGGTTGCCTTGCTCAAGGGCACCTCGGCAGTGCACAGGAGGTGAAACTGGCAGCTCTCCAGCTACCAGTA